AGTTAATATAATTATATTACAGGAACATGTAATTCTATTCGTTAATTATTTTTTTAAAGGTGACATTATTATTGATTTCTATAAATTAAGTTTTTTCAAAACAAGGCAAACAATTTTCACTTACCTTTCATGCGGTTTTTCTCATATTTGTGTTTCACTCACTTTGATGTTTACACACTACTTTACTAATTACTATTACATAAAGGGTTTCTTTTGTTTTATTTATTAACATCGAAATATTTATTAAAAAAACTGAGTTTATTTAGGACTAAAGATAAAAAAATTTTCAATAATTACTGTGTGGTGTGGAGAAAATAAAAAGGAAAACTTTACTCATTGCTTTCTTTTTTAATAAAAACAGATTCACATAAAAATAAATTCTTGTAAAAAAACAACAAAATCAGCTCGATACCATTAAACTCATCAATATGAAAACATTGTAGTATTAAACATTTTCTGACTAGTTCGCTTAACAGTATAGAACTTTCTCCTTTTATATATATAAAAAATGCTTTATACAAACTGTTGTAACCTTATCCGTTTCTTATTATTNCACATTCTGTAGTAAGACCATCTGCCGTGGACCAAAAGAAGACGTTCTAGAAACCTGAACTGGGCGATGGAATAGTCAGAAGCTAAAACTGCTTGCATACCTTCTTGACCCGATATACCCACACCAATGTGAGCAGCTAAACAAAAAAATAAATAAATAATGAGATTTTCGATATAAAAATAATATTAATTGCACAATTTTAGCAAAATAAATCAACTAAATGATCTAACTCACCTTTAATCTTAACAATAAATAATTAATAAGTGTATATAATTTTTAGTAAAATATCAGATTATAAATTATACAACACACTAATAAATCTAAAGGAAGTTAATACTGGAAAAAATTAAAAAAGTCTTCAATTTTCTAAGACAAAGTTCTTCATATGTCGTTCCCTAAATACCTACTAACTTGTATTACATACTATATTTTCTTATAGTAAAATTGTGGGCATATTTTTAATAATGTGGCATTCTAAGGTGAATTTTTTGGAAATATTTTCCGTTATATTTATGTAAAACATTCTTTTTTTATACAGATTACCATGCAATAAAAAGAAAACAACTGTNTAAAGAATTAGAAGGTATTCATGGAATGTCTCTTTGTCCTCTTTTTAAGCTTCTTATGGCCAATGTGAGCCACTATCATTAATCATTTTATATAATGTTTGATCGGTGATACTAGCAAAAATTTTAACAGTAAAAATGTATTTTGTTTTTACAAATAGAAAATACAAAATGCTTTCCTCAAAAAAGTACTTTAATGCAAATAGGTATTTTTTATTTTGTATTTGTATCTTAAATGCAAGTATTTCAAATAAATCAAATCTCTAATTAATATGTATGGACTCCCACTCCAAGCACACTTCAAACAATTTTATTTGTATTTCTAAGTTAACCGATTTTGAGAATAGTTAAATATTTACTTTTGGGTAATGTTTTGCATTTAACAATATGCTTACATTATTATTTAATTGTTTTAGTCAATAGAGCTCAAAATGGCTTCAGTAAGGAACTACCGTCATCAATCAAATCATCTGCACCATCTTCATCCACAAAACCGACTACTAGACTTACTACATCTGATTCCCAAATAAAAACCGTAGTCGAAACTACTAAATACGAAAATATCTTAGGAAAGATACCAAAACATGCCAAAGTTATTTTATACAGTGATGGAAGCATCAATTGCCTAGATCAGGGTAATTTCCCCCATCCAACATCCTGCAAGAAATTTATCTCTTGCGCTTTAATGCATAATGGGGAGATTCGTGGGTGGCAATATTCCTGTCCCAAAAATCTCAGCTTTGATCCCATTGGGGGAATGTGCAATTGGTCAATGGGATTAGATTGTAATGAGCGATAATTTTTTTCTTTTTGTTTTCTAATTAATTCGTTAATATTTGTAACTAAAAAAAAGTTAGTTACAGTTTATATTTGTTGACTGAGTTGAAACAAACGATTTGTAATGTAAGGTGTTCCCAAAATGTTGGTAAATGATTTTAGAATTCGTGGTATTAAACCGTAGAAACAAAACGAATATAAATTGATTATTTCCTAAGTATAAAATCCAAATTTACATTTAAAGAAAACTATGTACTAATATTGAATTATTCGTCTGTAAAAGGATCACTAATAACTGCAAGTATTAAATTAAATTGCAGCTTGCAGCTCCTAATTTAATTTAAACGACTGGGACCCCCTTACGCAATGTATGCATAAACAAATATTTATGTTTAATTAGTAAAATGAACATAAATTTGTGCTATCAGGTAATTTATTGTAGTAGTAAACAAGAACGTGATATGTTTTTTTATATATAATATTT